AGAAATACTAATGTAGATGATAGGGTGATGGATGCAGAAAACTACCATGGTGCATATATACCTATGACAAAGCTGCAGGTTCTGCATATGTACCCCAGAACTTAAAGTATGATGAACACACACACACACACACACACAAGAAAACTGGCACAAGACAAGGACGCCCTCTCTCACCACTGCTATTCAATATAATGTTGAAAGCTCTGGCCAGGGCAATCAGGCAAGAAAAAGAAATAAAGTGTATTCGATTAGGAAAAAAGTAAGTCAAATTGTCTATATTTGCAGGTGATATGACTGTATATTTAGAAGACCCCATCGTCCCAGCCCCAAATCTCTTTAAGCTGATAAGCAACTTCAGCAAAGTCTCAGGATACAAAATCAGTGTGCAAAAAACACAAGCATTCCTATACATCTATAATAGAAAAGCAGAGAGCCAAATCATGAGTCAACTCTCATTCACAATTGCTGCAAAGAGAATAAAATACGTGGGAATACAATTTACAAGGGATGCAAAGGACCTCTTCAAAGAGAACTACAAACTGCTGCTCAAGGTAATAAGAGAGGACACAAACAAATGGAAAAACATTCCATCCTCATGGTTAGGAAAATCAATATTGTGAAAATGGCCATACTGCCCAAAGTAATCTTATAGATTCACTGCTATCCCCATCAAGCTACCACTGACTTCCTTCACAAAATCGGAAAAAAACTACTTTAAATTTCATATGGAACCAAAAAAGAGCCCGCATAGCCAAGATAATTCTAAGCAAAGAGACCAAAGCTGGAGGCATTACACTATCTATCTGACTTCAAGCTATACTACAAGGCTACAGTAATCAGAACAGCATGGTACTGGTACCAAAACAAATATATAAACCAGTGAAACAGAACAGAAGCCTCAGAAATAATGCAACACAGAGTGAACAGGGAACCTACAGAATGGTAGAAAATTTTTGCAATTTCTTCATCCAACAAAGGGCTGATATCCAGAATCTACAAAGAACTTCAACACATTTACAAGAAAAAAACAACCCCATCAAAAAGTGGGCAAAGAATATGAACAGACACTTCTCAAAAGGAGACATTTATGCAGCCAACAAACATATGGGGAAAAAAAGCTCATCATCACTGGTCATTAGAGAAATGCACATCAAAACCACAATGAGATGCCAGTTAGAATGGTGATCATTAAAAAGCCAGTAGACAACAGATGCTGGAGAGGATGTGGAGAATTAGGAACGCTTTTACACTGTTGTTGGGAGTATAAATTAGTTCAACCATTGTGGAAGATGGTGTGGTGATTCCTCAAGGATCTAGAACTAGAAATACCATTTGACCCAGCAATTCCCTTACTGGGTATATACCCAAAGGAGTTTTGTTACTTTGGTGGTGTCATGTTTTTCCTGATTGTAATCCTTGTGGCCATGAACTGGTATTTTCCCATCTGAAAAACTAAGGACTTATTCCAGTGTTTGCAGGCTGGCTTCAGCTTGGAAAGCCCTTCATCAGCCAGCCTGTCCAGAGATTCTAGGAGAGCTTTCTGGTGTGGTCCATGGGCAGGCTTACTGCTGGAGTCTTCAAGTAGGCTGGCCTGGTTCCTGTGTGAACAGGGGAGTAGGCCCAGTATCTGGATCCGTGGCAACCACCCCAGCACTGGAGTCTACTGGAATGGTCCTGGACCCTGAGTTTACTAGAGTAGGCCTGGATCCAGGCACTACTGGAGTGTGAGGCCACAGGGGCTTGCCTGGCACTGGGCAAGTCTAAAGCCTATGTCTGTGTAATCCATCTTGGAGGCTGGGAATGTGGGTGCCAGCCTGGTTCCTGAGGCCATTGGTACTGACCTGGCTCTGGGGTGTGGCTGGAGGCTTCGTCTTTGGTCAGTTGCCCAAAGTCTGAGGTTGAAGAGATCAGCTTAGTACTGGATTGGGCCTGAATCCTGGGGCTGTGTGGGCCAGCCTTGTTTTAGGCTGGGTTGGAGCCTGATCTGGCCCTGAAGCCTGAGCTTGAATGGGCCAGCCTCAAACCTCGGGCCATCAGGGATGGCCTGGCACTGGAGTGACCTGGAGTCTGTACCCATGAGGGCTATATCGGAAGCTGAATCTTTGGGTGCTGACCTGGCACCTGAGGCCATAGGAGTCAGCCTGGAGCTGAGGTCCATGGGTGTCAATGTGGCACTGGAACAGACCCAAAGCCTGGAAGTGTGAAGGCCAGCCTGGAGCTGAGTCGGTCTGGATACTGGGTCTCTGGATATTGGCCTTAAACTGAAGTCCAGGTGTGCTGGTTTTGTGATAGAAAGGGCCTGGAGAAGTGGTTGGCCTGAAGCCTGGGGCTGAAGGGGTTGTCTTGGAATGAGTGCAAGCCTGGAGGTATAATCTGGTGCTGAAGGAAGTCTGGAGCCCGGGCTATTTTCCCAGGGATGGGAGACTGCATCTGCAGGGATGGCCTGGACCCTGAAGGTACAACGGCTATCCTAGTGCCCAAGTCTGTGGGGACCAGGCTAAAATCTAGGGTAAGGCCTACCAGGTAATTTTAAATTGTCCTGCTAAAGAGAAAAATAGAGGAAAAGAGAGAAGTAGTGAATATTAGGGAAAGGAGTGATGTTGCAATGTTACATTGAGTGTCCAGAGAAAAGCTTCACTTAGAAAGAGATACCCATGAAAGATCTGAATGAAGTGGGAGCCAGACGTGCATATGTGAGAGAATGTGCATTTGTCTCCCTCATGTAAGGGCAGACCAAGTGAAAAAGTCCTGGGACAGGATTTTTCCAGGCCTACTTGAACAATAGCAACAAGATCTGTGTCATAAGTGAGTGAGTGAGGGATATGAGAGAAGACAGGTAAGGTGGGATCACATCATGTGGGTGTGAATTCATTCATACTGTAATGAATTAGGCCATGATTCAGTAAGATAAGATGATTGCAGAGCACTGAGTAGGGGAAAGACATCACTCTGGCTTCTGGGTGGTTAATAAACTTGGTGGGGGCCGGGCACGGTGGCTCAAGCCTGTAATCCCAGCACTTTGGGAGGCCGAGGCAGGTGGATCACGAGGTCAAGAGATCGAGACCATCCAGGTCAACATGGTGAAACCCCATGTCTACTAAAAATACAAAAAATTAGCTGGGCATGGTGGTGCGCACCTGTAATCCCAGCTACTCGGGAGGCTGAGGCAGGAGAATTGCCTGAACCCAGGAGGCGGAGGTTGCGGTGAGCCGAGATCGCACCATTGCACTCCAGCCTGGGTAACAAGAGCGAAACTCCGTCTCAAAAATAAAAATAAAATAAAATAAATAAACTGGGTGGGAAAGGAAGTGGTTCATATCATGTGGGTCCTTGTAGACCACCATGAGCACTTGGGCTTTAATTCTGAGTGAGCTGAGGACATTGCAGGGTAATAAGTAGGGAAAAGATATGATATGACTTACATTTTGACATGATTGCTCTGTCTATGGGTTGAGAAAGTTCCAGGTGTATCAGGGGCAAGTGTGGGAGTAGGGAGAAGAGTCAGGAGGCTGTTACAGTAATATACGCTTTGGACTAAGCAGGGGCAGGAAAGATGGACAGATTCTGGATACGTTTTGAAAGGTAAGCTGACCAGAGTTCCTGATAAATCAAATGTGGAGTTAGAGGGAAAGAGAGGAATCAAGGAAGATACCTAAGTTTTTGACCTGACCATTTCTAGCTTCCAGTGAGTTTTTTAATGAAAATAAATTGAGTTTTTAGCCTCTGTTTGTATTATATATATTTAAGGTGTATAACATGATGTCTTTTTTTTTTTTTTTTTTTTTTTTTGAGGCGGAGTTTCGCTCTTGTTACCCAGGCTGGAGTGCAATGGCGCGATCTCGGCTCACCGCGACCTCTGCCTCCTGGGTTCAGGCAATTCTCCTGACTCAGCCTCCCGAGTAGCTGGGATTACAGGCACGTGCCACCGTGCCCAGCTAATTTTTTGTATCTTTAGTAGAGACGGGGTTTCACCTTGTTGACCAGGATGGTCTCGATCTCTTGACCTCGTGATCCACCTGCCTTGGCCTCCCAAAGTGCTGGGATTACAGGCGTGAGCCACCGCGCCCGGCCGGTTGTTTCTATATATTGGCTTTTGTGAGTAATGCTGCAGTGAGCATGTGAGCACATATAGCTCCATGAGGTGCTGATTTTTTTATTGAATACTTTTCTGCATCTAGTCATGATCATATGGGTTTTCTTGTTTGATTCATTAATGTGTTGAATTATATTATTATGTTATTTTATTTAACTGTTCTAACTGAGCTTTGTATTACTAAGAGAGGATATCTTAGCTATTTTTTTCCACTTTCTCCATCCTATTTATTCCTTTATTTGTTTTCTGAGTTGCAATATTTGAAACCATATATACATATATTTTGAGATGGAGTCTTGCTCTTGTTGCCCAGGCTGTAGTGCAATGGCATGATCTCGGCTCATTGCAACCTCCACCTTTCAACTTCAAACAATTCTCCTGCCTCAGCCTCCCAAGTATCTTGGACTACAAGTGCCCACCACCATACCTGGCTAATTTTTGTATTTTTAGTAGAGATTGGGTTTCTCCATGTTGGCCAGGCTGGTCTGACCTCAGGTGATCTGCCCACCTTGGCCTCCCAAAGTGCTGGGATTACAGGTGTGAGCCACTGCGCCCAGCCAAAACCATAATTTTCTACTACTCGTCTCTGAAAAAGTATTGTATTGACACTATATATTCTTCCAAATATCCTTTTTGGAGCAAGTAGGTAAACCTAGCCACCATTTGAAACATTGTTTCTATAGATAAATGAGCACTGGATTCCAGACAACTGATTTCCCTGTGAACTTCAGAAGCTAAAGTGTTCTGAGATTGAAAAAATATATAAACTTCTACTGAGAGGCTTCTGAGGATGTTTAGTTTCCAGCACAATTTTCCAGACCTTCCATTTTCAGTACAAGGCAAGCTAGGGTACCTGGTCTCTGTTACGTTATGTGCAAATGATAGCTTACTCATGTTCTTTTTCAAGGTATCCTCACCTGAGTCCCAGGTACAAGGAGTCTTTTGATGTGGGCTGTAACCTCTTTGCCAAGTTTTCTGCATATATTAAGAATACACAAAAGGAGGCAAACAAAAGTAAGATACTTTTCTTTAAATCACTATTTTTCTCTCACTCTTCATATTTTTACTCAGTAAAAATAGAGACTTTTCCAGGATGTATAGTATATTTCAGGGAATAGACTAGTCTTCCTCTCATTCTCTGTTCTCTCCTCTGAAATTCCCTTGTATTAAGTTTTATTAGATTTAGAACACAAAATTCAATATAGCAATTACCAACACAGCTCAATTAGAATATTGACATACCAGGTGTGAACTAACTGCAGGACTGTGTACCTTTAAGTTTTCTTAAACTGTGGCAGCTACCATTTCCCATGAACATTCTTAAATAGGTTTATTATCCTCTGAGTCACAAGAACTGTGTGTTTTCTTCACTTTCTAACTCTTCTGACTTGGATAACATATATCACTTTTCCTTCTTTCTTTTACTCTCCTACCAATGTACCTCCCTAAGAAAATTCCAAAAGATTTACAGTCACTATTCAATCTTACTTTCTGTTATCAGTAAGTAGTTGAGCATTCTAAATAGTTAACTGGATGTTGAAAAGCCAGCATAAGCAATGTGTATAGATTGAGGTATCTAAATGTATGGAAAGCATATTTAGAAAGTATTTAGTCATAAAGACAATACATTTACAAATACTTTATTATTTCATTGCCTCAGATTTTGAAAAATCTCTGCTCAAAGAATTCAAGCGTCTGGATGACTACTTAAACACCCCACTTCTGGATGAAATTGATCCAGACAGTGCTGAGGAACCCACAGTTTCCAGAAGACTGTTCTTGGATGGGGACCAGCTAACACTGGCTGATTGTAGCTTGTTACCCAAGCTGAACATTATTAAAGTAAGTATTTATAGGGCAGGCTGAATGGGTGGGGGGAGGTTTACCAGTTGCCAGCACAAAGCACAGCGACCTTCCAGTGTGCTGTCATTATGCTATAGCTTTGTCATCATCATCACATGTAGCATATACATCTCTTTTTCTCTTTAGAGGAAAAATCCATAATAACCTCTTCTGGGAAGTATTAAAACGTGGGGCTTTTTTTTCCTTTTTGAGATAAGAAATGTCACCCAGGTTGGAGTGCAGTGGCATGATCAAGGCTTACTGCAACCCCCACCTCCCAGGTTCAAGCAGTCCTCCCACCCCAGCCTCTTGAGTAGTTGGGACTACAGGCGCATGTCACCACGCCAAGCTAATTTTTTGTATTTTTTGTAGCAACAGGGTTTTGCCATGTTGCACAGGCTGGTCATGAACTCCTAGGCTCAAGTGATTTGCCTGCCTTGGTCTCCCAAAGTGCTAGGATTACAGGCATGAGCCACCATACCCAGCCAAAACTTCTTTCTTTCTTTCTAAATCAGAAGGTGTTTTCCACTGTCTTGTCTATCAAATAAGAATAATATTACCCATTTTACAGAATTGTTAAGAGAATTAAACAAATTAAAGCATTTAAAATGCTCGGAACAGTGCCTGGATCATAAATTTAACAAATATGAACAGACACTTTACAAAAGAAGACATACATGAGGCCAACAAACATATGAAAAAATGCTCATCATCACTGGTCATTAGAGAGATGCAAATCAAAACCACATTGAGATACCATCTCACGCCAGTTAGAATGGCAATCATTAAAAAATCTGGAGACAACAGATGCTGGAGAGGATGTGGAGAAATAGGAACACTCTTACACTGTTGGTGGGAGTGTAAATTAGTTCAACCATTGTGGAAGACAGTGTGGCGATTCCTCAAGGCCTTAGAAATAGAAATTTCATTTGACCCAGCCATCCCATTACTGGGTATATATCCAAAGGACTATAAATCGGTCTACTATAAGGACACATGCACACGAATGTTCATTGCAGCACTGTTTACAATAGCAAAGACCTGGAACCAACCCAAATGCCCATCGACGATAGACTGGACTGGGAAAATGTGGCACATATACACCATGGAATATTATGCAGCAATCAGAAATGATGAGTTTGTGTCGTTTGTCGGGACATGGATGAATCTGGAGAACGTCATCCTCAGCAAACTGACACAAGAACAGAAAATGAAACACCGCATATTCTCACTCATAGGCGGGCGATGAAAAATGAGAACACATGGACACAGGGAAGGGAGTACTACACACTGGGGTCTACTGGGGGGAATAGGGGAGGGACCATGGCGGGGGGGGACTGGGGAGGGATAGATGGGGAGAAATGCCAAATGTGGGTGAAGGGTAGGAAGGCAGCAAAACACACTGCCATGTGTGTACCTATGCAACTATCTTGCATGTTCTGCACATGTACCCCAAAACCTAAAATGCAATTTTAAAAAAAGGTGAAAAAAAAACAAATATATATTGAACAGCCTTACGCCGAATTTACTTTCTGAGTTCTATGCCAAACACAGAGGATACATAAAGAAATAAGACATAAGACTTTAAATAAACTCTTGGTGGATATGTGCTCATTTTCTTTGCTTCCTTCTTCTAAATATAGTCATAATTAAATACAGCATCAGTATAAACATGATTGTAAGCTATAGTTTTGTCAACGTTTGTAAGCAAAACATCAAAATAGTCCAAGACTCAAGTCTACTTCATAGTTTATTTTATGGTACTTTTTGTGTCCATAAGATGCCTTTGATAATCCTGACTTCTAAGATATATTTCTACATAGTAGGCATATTACTGATGCCTTTTACTACCAACTTCTTTTTCCTTTCTTTTTTGTTTTTGTTTTTGTTTTTCTGCAAATTCTAGGTTGCTGCCAAGAAATATCGTGACTTTGACATTCCAGCAGAATTCTCAGGAGTCTGGCGTTATCTTCACAATGCCTATGCCCGTGAAGAATTTACCCACACGTGTCCTGAAGACAAAGAAATTGAAAATACTTATGCAAATGTGGCTAAACAGAAGAGTTAGGATAGCTCTTACAGGAGAAAAGGCTATGTGTGTGATCAGATTTTACTTATTGACACATTACAAAAGGTTTGCCAATAAGAATATGAAAAATACTGTCCACTGTGTATTTTAGAGGTCTTCATACTTTTACTTAATTTTCTTTATCCATATGACAAGCCACTGCAATCCTGAATGACATGGAAAGCATCACAATCTTTTGCCTTTTGCTTGAATTCCTGGAATGCATATATATAAGCTAAACAGATGTCTGTAGTTATAAATGTCATAAGTAGAAGTAACAATCTCATCCCATTCCTTAGAAACATTTCCATATAAATCATTAAATAATTTCACATTTTTATTAGTTTAATATATGCATGAGTTTATTTCTGATATAAATGATAAATTCAGAGATTGAGCATATCAGAGAGGAAAATTCTGAAAGAATGATTATTTGTATGTTTATTGCAGCACTGTTCACAATAGCAAAGACTTGGAACCAACCCAAATGGTTATCCAGCCCATCAATGATTGATAGACTGGATAAACAAAATGTGGCACATATACACCATCGAATACTATGCAGCCATAAAAAAAGATGCATTCATGTCCTTTGCAGGGACATGGATGAAGCTGAAAACCATCATTCTCAGCAAACTGACACAAGAACAGAAAACCAAACATCGCATGTTCTCACTCATAAGTGGGAGTCGAACAATGAGAACACACGGACACAAGGAGGGGAACATCACACTGGGGCCTGTCAGGAAGTGGGGGTTTGGGGAGGGCTAGCATTAGGAGAAATACCTCATGTAAATGATGGGTTGATGGGTGCAGCAAACCACCATGGCATGTTTATACCTATGTAACAAACCTGCGCATTCTTCACATGTACCCCAGAACTTAAGGTATAATAAAAAACCACCTCCTCTAAGCTCTTAATATTGGCTATAATTAAATATCATATTTTAAAAAGCAGCAAAAAAAAAAGTCAGCTCTAGGAAGAGATTAAGATCAGTTGGTTGTAGAACAGCATTTGCACCTAGAACTATGATCACCTCATGGTCAGAAATGAGAAAGTAGCCTTTGTGACCAAATTGTATGATTGTTAAATGAAGAAGCATTCGCTAAATAAAACATAATTTTAAAAAACGAGATAAGAAACAAAGTCAACTAAATCTTTTATTCATAGAAATGTAAAGGAAAATAAGAAATGTGGCTGACCATAGGTGTTGTTGATGTCCATAAAAGGATAAGGTAAACAGTCCTTAGATAATTACCAAACTTTCTACAAAAGTTAAAGTGTTGCATTACTACATGTATTCAGATTAACTTGTTAAAGTATTCTTAAATCATTCAAATCTGGAAACAAAAGTTGAACTTAACTCTTGCTCCCTCAAAAGAGAAACGCAAGAGTAAGTGCAGCTTCAAAAAAGGAAACAACTACAGGGTTCTTTTAAGGCTTTGGAGGAAGGGTGGAGTTTAGGTAAATTTAAACGAAGTGGTGGTTTAATAGGTTCAAAGAAAAGTAAGGCAATGAGCAAGCTCAAAGTTGTCCTTAAAACCATAGAGTCGAGATAAATGTATAGTGTACAGTTAGGTGGCAGACAACTGCAATTATGTTGACAATCTTTCAGATACATCCTTTCATCAGCATATTTCAGAACACATGCAATAGACTAGCAAGTTACAATTGATAGAATACATTTGAAAAATGTGTAAGCTTTTAGATGCCATTAGTACAGGCTTTAGATTTATCTGCTTTAATGTTTACTGAGTAAAAATGCCATTTGAAATCAGTGAGACAAGGGGAAAAACAGATTTTAGGTGTTTATCCTATATATCATTTTTCATTGTTTATGTTGCTACAAAGTAGTAAAAAGTGACCCATAAAAAAACTACAATGGGTCAGGTGCAGTGGCTCATGCCTGCAATCCCAGCCCTTTGGGAGGCCAAGGCAGGTGGATCACTTGAGCTCAGGAGTTTGACACCAGCCTGAGCAACATACAAAACCCCATCTCTACACATATAATTTTTTTAAATTAGCTGGGCATGATGGTGTGCACCTGTAGTCCAAGCTACATGGGAGGCTGAGGTGAGAGAAACCTGAGCCTGGGAGATCAAGGCTGCAATGAGGTGTGACCCTGTCTCAAAAAAAAGTATAGTGTAGTGTCTCCTCTCTGCTGGAAGATCCCTGATCTAAGAAATTACACCTGAACTGAATGGTGGGGTTGTGACTTTTCTGAACATCTCAGATTCTTCCACTTTCATGAATAGGATTTCAAAAATTAAAGTTTTTTAAAGATCTGTCATTTTAAAGAACAAAGCTTCTCAGTAGCATGCCTTGAAATTCATTAACAGAGATGTTTTTACAAACTTACCTCATACATAAAGTATGTTCATGTTGCTCAGGTGTATTGCAGTGCTATTGACAATAACCAAGCAATGGAATCAACCTAAGCATCCATCAACAGATGAATGAATACAGAAAATGTGGCATATATACATAACGGAATATTATTCAGCAATAAAATAGAATTAAATTATGTTATTTGTGACAATATTGATAAATTTGGCGGACATGTTAAATAAGCCAGGCACAGAAAGACAAACACCACATGATCTCACTCATATGTGGAATTTTTAAAAGTCGATCTCACAGAAGTAGAAGGTAGAATCATGGTTACCAGAGGCTGGGGAAAGAAAGCAGAGGCACTGAAAGATGTTGGTCAATGGGTGTGAAGTTACACCTACAAAGAATAAATTTTGGTACTCATTGCACAGTAAGGTGACTATACCAAATAACAATGTAGCGTATATTTCAACATAGCTATAAAAGCAGATTTTAAATATTGTCACCACAAAGAAATGACAAACATTTATAGTGATGGATATGGTAGTTACCCCTATTTGATCATTATACCATGTATACATGCATTGAAACACCACATTGCATCCCATAAATATGTACAATTATGTGCCCATTATGCATTTTAAAAATACATTTTAAAAACCTTTAATTAAACAACTCGTGGTTTAAAGGAAAAAATAAACCAAAACTACAGTATCTCTAAAACAAATAACGATGATGTAAACACTTCATATCAGAATGTAGGAGATAAATATAAAGCAGTAATCAAAGGAAATTTTGTAACGCTAAATAAAAGATGGAAAATAAATTTATTAAACATTGAGCCGGTCGGGTGCGGTGGCTCAAGCCTGTAATCCCAGCACTTTGGGAGGCCGAGGCAGGTGGATCACGAGGTCAAGAGATCGAGACCATCCTGGTCAACATGGTGAAAACCCGTCTCTACTAAAAATACAAAAAATTAGCTGGGCACGGTGGCGTGTGCCTGTAATCCCAGCTACTCAGGAGGCTGAGGCAGGAGAATTGCCTGAACCCGGAAGGCGGAGCTTGCGGTGAGCGGAGATCGCGCCATTGCACTCCAGCCTGGGTAACAAGAGCGAAACTCCGTCTCAAAAAAAAAATTGAGCTAACAAAAACCTAAAAAATATGCACAACAATGTGAATATACTTAACACTTCTCAATTGTCTGCTTCAAAATAGTTAAGATGATGAGTTTTAAGCTATGTGTTTTTAACAAAACTTAAAAAGAATAAAAACACCAAAAGAATCTTGGTAGAGCACCAGAAAAAAACAAAAAGAAACTTAAAATAAGTCCAACAAAGTAAGTAAAATAACACAAGAAAATAACCAATAAAGATAAAGTAAGAAGGATATGAACAGACATTTCTCAAAAGAAGACACTGGCCGCATGGCCAACAAACATGAAAAAATGCTCATCATCACTGGTCATTAGAGAAATGCAATTCAAAACCACAATGAGATACTATCCCACGCCAGTTAGAATAGTGGTCATTAAAAAGTCAGGAAACAAGAGATTCTGAAGAGGATGTGGAGAAATACGAATGCTTTTACACTGTTGGTGAGAGTGCAAATTAATTCAACCATTGTGGAAGACAGCGTGGTGATTCCTCAAGGATCTTGAACTAGAAATACCATTTGACCCAGCAATCCCATTACTGAGTATATAACCAAAGGATTGTAAATCATTCTATTATAAAGACACATGTACACGTATGTTCATTGCAGCACTGTTTACAATAGCAAAGACTTGGAACCAACCCAAATGCCCATCAATGATAGACTGGGTAAACAAAATGTGGCACATATACACCTTGGAATACTATGCAGCTATAAAAAGGAGAGTTTATGTCCTTTGCAGGGACATGGATGAAGCTGGAAACCATCATTCTCTGCAAAGTGACACAAGAACAGAAAACCAAACACCGAATGTTCTCACTCATGGACAGGTGTTGAACAATTAGAACACATGGACACAGGGAGGGGAACATCATGCACCAGGGCCTGTCTGAGAGTGGGGGATAGGGGAGAGTTAGCATTAGGAGAAATACCTAATATAGATGATGGGATGATGGGTGCAGCAAACCACCATGGCAGGTATACCTATGTAACCAACCTGCACATTCTACACATGTACCCCCCAGAACTTAAAGTATAATTTAAAAAATTTTTTCAAAAGAGATTCACTGAGGCCAGGTGCAGCAGCTCATGCCTGTAATCCCAGCACTCTGGAAGGCCCAGACAAGTGGATCATGTAAGGTCAGGAGTTTGAGACCAGCCCAGCGAACATGGTGAAGTCCCATCTCTACTAAAAATACAAAAATTAGTCAGGTATGGAGACACATGCCTGTAATCCCAGATACTTGAGAGGCTGAGGCAGGAGAATTGCTTGAACCTGGTAGGCAGAGGTTGCAGTGGTCTGAGATCACACCACTGCACTCTGGCCTGGGTGACAAAGGTAGACTCTGCCTCAAAAAAAAAAAAGGAACTATGTAGGAATAATGTTTCTCTATGTCAATAGAATAAAGCTAGTATAAATCTGAAGGTGATTCCAGTAAGTCACAATTGCTACAAAGAGAATAAAATACCTAGGAATACAACTAACAAGGAATGTAAACGACCTCTTCAAGGAGAACTACAAACCACTGCTCAAAGAAATAACAGAGGACACAAACAGATAGAGAAACATTCCATGTTCATGGTTAGGAAGAATCAATATCGTGAAAATGGCCATACTTCCCAAAGTAATTTACAAGTTCAACGCTATCCCCATCAAGCTACCAATGGCCTTCTTCACAGAACTGGAAAAAACCACCTTAAACTTCATATGGAACCAAAAGAGAGCCCACATAGCCAAGTCAATACTAAGTAAAAAGAACACAGCTGGAGGCATCACACTACCGGACTTCAAACTATACTACAAGGCTACAGTAATCAAAACAGCATGATACTGGTACCAAAACAGAGATATAGACCAATGGAACAAAACAGAGGCATTGGAGGCAACACAACATATCTACAACCATACAATCTTTGATAAACTTGACAAAACAAGCAATGGGGAAAGGATTCCATATTTAATCAATGGTGTTGGGAAACCTGGCTAGCTATGTGCAGAAAGCAGAAACTGGACCCCTTCCTGACACCTTACACTAAAATTAACTCCAGATGGGTTAAAGACTTAAACATAAGACCTAACACCATAAAAACCCTAGAAGAAAACTAGGCAAAACCATTCAGGACATAGGAGTAGGCAAGGACTTCATGAACAAAACACCAAAAACATTGGCAACAAAAGCCAAAATAGACAAATGGGACCTAATCAAACTCCACAGCTTCTGCACGGCAAAAGAAACAGTCACTAGAGTGAATCGGCAACCAACAGAATTGGAAAAAATGTTTGCAGTTTACCCATCTGACAAAGGGCTGATATCCAGAATTTACAAAGAACTCAGATTTACAAGAAAAAAACAAACAAGCCCATTCAAAAGTGGGAAAAGGATATGAACAGACACTTTACAAAAGAAGACATACATGAGGCCAAAGAACATATTAAAAAATACTCATCATCGCTGGTCATTAGAGAAATGCAAATCAAAACCACATTGAGATACCATCTCATGCCAGTTAGAATGGTAATCATTAAAAAAATCTGGAGACAACATATGCTGGAGAGGATGTGGAGAAACAGGAACACTTTTAAACTGTTGATGGGAGTCCAAATTAGTTCAACGATTGTGGAAGACAGTGTGGCAATTCCTCAAGGATCTAGAAATAAAAATACCATTTGATCCAGCAATTCCATTACTGGGTATATACTTAAAGCATTATAAACAATTCTATTATAAAGACACATGCACATATATGTTTATTGTGGCACTGTTCACAATAGCAAAGACTTGGAACTAAGTCAAATGACCATCAATGATAGACTGGATAAAGAAAATGTGACACATATACACCATGGAACACTATGCAGCCATAAAAAAGGATGAGTTCTTGTCCTTTGCAGGGACACAGATGAAGCTGGAAACCATTATTCTCAGCAAACTGACACAAGATCATAAAACCAGACACCGCATGTTCTCACTCATAAGTGGGTGTTTAACAATGAGAACACATGGACACAAAGAGGGGAACATCCCACACTGGGGCCTTTCTGGGGGTGGGGGGCTAGGGAAGGAATAGTATTAGGAGAGATACCTAATTTAGATGATGGAGTGATGGATGGCACGTGTATACCTATGTAACAAACCTGCACATTCCGCACGTGTACTCCAGAACTTAAAGTATAATAAATAATTTTTAAAAAGACAAATATAGCAGTGCTCAGATG